CTATGTTGACACAGCAGGAAAAATGGTCTAAATCAGTTTTATTTGGCCACATGTGAGTGTGTATAGAGCAAAATCCAAACATGGCTTCTTTCATACATGGCCCTTAATGAGGTATGTATCCGAAGTCTGAAAAAAAAAGTTCATTTCATGAAACATTTTCATGTCACCAAAGTGATATGTCACATGGTGGGTGACACATAATTAGACACAAAACACACCTTGATAACAGAGTCTGGCTGTTCCTGACCTCGGTTTACAGTAAGCCTTCTACACTAATCTGTTCCAGTCAGTGACAGTGTTTCAGCCTAAATCCTTAGCTCTTGCTTCAGTAATTACTTCATCAAACACCTTACTATAATCCTAAAAAAATTCCCTGACTTTGTGTGTGTGTGTGTGTGTAGAAAAACTGGTCTCAATGCGAAGGTATTTTTTTTTTATTATTCTGTCACTCTGTTGGCACAACTACTGTACCTGTAAGTTATGTGGTAATTTACTGCAGAATAAATGTGCATCAAAATACTGCCAAAGAGACAGGCTGGATTCGTGTACGTTGAATAAAACAGTCCTGTTTCTATTTGGCTGTCAGCAGATGAGATAATGAGTCCGTCATTGGGTGTCACGACAACGGCATCACCGAACAGCCAGGATAATTGAATTCCTGGCAGAGCAAGAAATAAACAGAAGAAAGACGGGGAATGATGCGCGACAACAGAAGGCCAGTTGTGTATTCTGTGCACGGAGCCCCCTCCTCCACAATGAACAAAATAGAAAACGAGGAGTGATGGGGTAAAGTGGAACAGACAGGGAGCGACAGCTGATTCTAATGAAGTACATTATAGAGGTGTTAAGAAAGTAGCAGGCAATAAAGTCCGGACTGCCAGAGGAACAGGCATTTACCTGTGAATAAAAAGAATGGACAAGAAGAACAACTTTAATAGTCCGGGGAAATGTGTCTGCAGGAAAAACATTTCTGAGGGCGTCCCGGCTAGATGTCGTTCCTCTGGTGCCACATAATGCTGAGTGTAGCTGTAAGTCGGAACTCCCACCCTGAACATAAGCACCTATGTCACACATCTACTCTAACACAGCGGTAACATCATAATCTAGAACATTGTTTCCCAAAGACTGGGTCACGACCCCCAGTTGGGTCTCAAGAGTTTTTTTTTTGGGTTGTCTCGCTTCATGTTTATGAATAATGTCTAATGACTAAGGTCGCGAAGGTTTGTGACTTTTGAAATATGAGTCCCAAGAAAAAGTTTGGGAAACACTGATCTAGAAGACAATAAGAATGGTTTGACTTGCCTGGAAGCCATAATGAAGGACAAAAAGTTCCCAAAAAAACAACACAAATGAAAGAAAGTGAATGTAGCACAATCGAACATATCATGTTGAATTGTAGGACACACCGTGAGAAATTTGTTTAAACATCACAAACACTGTGTATCAGAAAGATAAAACAAGACTTGGATTGGAAACGAGCTATAAAATACAGAACCTTCTGGTATCCGTCCACCGTGTCCAACTTGACAAAAATCCCCAAAAATAGAAAATAAAAAAGTTGACTCCACTTCTTTGAGATATGTTTCCATGAGGCTTCTTGAGCTAACACATCCCTGCTATAAACCATTGACCTCGGGCAAACAATATTTTACGGCTACTGTTAGCGGCACCTGTCATTCCATTGCACTGCCCCAGGGGCTGAAACAACTAATAGGAAATTTACAGTGCGAGTCTTGGTACGGCCACAGGAGGTGCTATTACAGATACGTGGTTCTTCTGGGAATTGATCCCTGGACTCTCTGCTTGCAAGGCAGGTCTGCTAACCACTACACAGGAGTCAAACTCAGGCCTGCGGCCCAAATCTGGAACATGGTGTAAATATATTTGGCCCGTGAGAACATATCAAATGTGTATTAGAGCTGGCCCACCATTATAGCCACTATATACTGGACCAATTTTAAATTGAGTTTACCCTACAGAACCACCAAAATCTTAACATGTATGTGGTATATGATGCTTCTCCAGTATGTCTGCAAATGTGTGTGTGTGTGTGTGTGTGTGTGTGTATGTGCCCAGCCAATCAAAACTAGTTTATCCTCCCTGGTGGATCATGCGTTCAGGGGCAGCACCTGCTCACCGGTGTCTCCCTGATGCTGACAGTGCTGATGAGGGAATACACCTCCAGCCAGGAGTGTCAGGATCATACGGCTTTGCTGTGATGTGACAAGAGGACAGCTGTGCTGCGCTGCTGTAAACATATTCACTATGGAGGGAGCTCCAATATAATCACAGAGAGCCACATCATTTTAGAGAGAGTGACCAGCTTCTGTGCCCACATCTCTCCTTCATCCTTCCTCCCACGAGGGAGAAGAGCTACTCTTCACCTCCTGGGAGAACAGAAGACAATGCTTCAGTGTCCTCATCGCGCTGCTTGTTGATAAGTACGCTCAGTGGGACTTTCTCAGTGTTTTGAAGCTTCGCCCTGTGGCCCTGCAGGCATCCCAAAGTCAGTTTTTTTTTTTATCACACAAGGGCCTGCATCAGTTGTGTGAGTGCTTGAAGGTAGCACGGCACATGTCACTGGGGGATGAATGCCCTCACCTTTGACAGAGCTCCTTTTTGCATTTACTACAGCACAGAAAATGAGTAATTCCACAGCTGGTGTTGCGGCTACTGCCTGCTGTACCGTGGCCCTGAGCACAGGCAGCATGTGATACGTCAGAAAGACTTTACTGCCCCGGAGCACAGAGGAGCTCTAAGGAGTGCACAGCTGCCACCTGGGGACTGTGTAGTGTCAATCTCCCTAACTATTCAGTATGGTTACAGTCCTGCAGCTCCTGGCTGCAGCCGTACAAATGCTCGTCTGACTCCACAGATAAAAGATTTGGTTGCTCTTGAATTATATTATTTTACCTTTGCATCCACCAAACAGTGGACTGTGAAAACTGTAGCAGCAGCAACTCTTAGGTGGACAAGCCTTAGCATCAGTTGTACAAGACAGTGGTGCTTAATACTGCATATCAGACGTGTGGAGACTTCTAAAGTGACAGTTCTAAAACATTGATAAACTGCATGTGGTACATGTCTGTTCCCGACAGGAACACACACCTCTACCTGACTGGAAACACTCCACAGAATCAGTTTCACTTTAATGTAAGTCCAGAGATGGAATCAAAGTTGGGTTTGCTGAACAACTTTGTTTCACAACTTGAAATATGGCTGCATTTCCCAAAAAGACACAAAGGAAACGACAAATGAGCAAGTGAGAAAATACATACAGCATGAATGAACAGTTTGAATGGTTAAAGTCAGCGCTCAGTGACGGCACTGATGACTCTGAACCTGTTCTCTGACTTAAATATCCTAAGTAACATTAAATACATCCAGGTTATGTCCCATTCATGCGTCAAACTTTTTACACTGCAGCGTATGAATAACGTCCATCAACTACGATTACAATAACTGTAGATAATGATTATATGTCTGGCTGCCTCAGAGCCAATATATTCTCAAAAAACATTATCATTGAAAAAAACCAGCATCCCAGTCAATCATACCACATCAGTCACCACTACTAACTTTGAAGTTGAAATCAATTGGGCAGAATTAGAGCCTCAAGTAGTCAAAGAATTTTAATATGTCTGTTATAAATATGTCTCAACAAAGAACGCCTCCACTCGCCAGTGTTGACATTTGACGCTCATTATTCTTTCTTTGTCCCCCCCAGAGGCTGCTACAAGAACTTCAGTCTAATGTTGTGTTCGAGTACGACTCAGACTTGTAATTGGCATAATAGAGAAATAAAAAGGCTGTTGAAGATGGAAGCGTCCTCCTACATCTTCATACAGGATTCCTTCTGTTTCTGTTGATACCAAACAGAGTCATGTTGTCACCCTGACCTGCTGCTCACAACCAACTGTTCACTTTTGCTGTGAGCGTTTTCTAACAATCACCTCCAAAACCAAGTGAAGGAAGGTAAGCATGCGGTCACATGCTGTCAGGCACTGGAAATGAATTCTGCTTTGATTTAACCTCATGGGCAGCAGTGGCGGTGAGCGGCAGGTCAATGAAAACTGTCCAATGAATGAGTAAGATGTCAATCTAAGTGAGGGGGAGATCACGATGAAGAAGTGGCCCCTGGGCCACAGATTGATGCAGTGGCAGGATTCCCACATGCCACCAGAGGGCTCTGGATATAATGTCTACTCCTCATTTCGGTTGGGTTTTTGGTTAAAACCTCTAAACTACTGCACTCTATTTCTATGGAAAAATATCCAAGCTTTTAGGCCGAGAGTGTATGAAGAACACATAGAAACCATTGGTGTCCATTTAATT